GGGTCACTCACTTCTGTGAGATACTGTATATGTGCAAAAACACGTGAGGGTTTAATAACCCTTTAAGGGTACACAAAAACCACCCCTAGATAAGCAGTGCAATTAGACAATCTTCCACTAGGCGGCGCTCTAGCACATCAACTCACCCAAGAAGGTCCCCAGGAAGAAGACTTTGAGGGGCACGTTGATGACCGGAGAGGTGATGTTGATAAACCAGTTTGGCAGGAACGGTGTTATTCTCAGGAATATGATATAATTAATCAGATGATCTTTGTGCCGCTCCACCTGGAAACAGAAGATAATCAGAGACTCAGAGCGTGAAGTACAGAGAGAGATTTCATACATTCAGATCAGGTTACAGGACATGATCCGGAAAAGAAATTAAACAGGTTATCCGATACCGGCGTAATCTCTTTCCTCAGATTGAGCTGGCGGAGCGCACAGGAAAACACAGACACCCATCCTCCGTACCGCAATGTGAGGACAACAATCTCGGCGGCACCTGAAACTAGGACCCCCTGCGGGGTGTAACCATCAGCGCCACCTGCTGGGGAAATGTCCCAACTGCTACACGGCTAAGTGACAGTGTGAACAGTCCAATTATACTCAGCTCTCAGTAAACACACACGGACAGGCCCGGCGCTACCGCAAGGCAAGTCAGGCGGCCGCCTCAGAGCGCTGCAGGGTGAGGGAGGAAAAAACAGGGCATTTTGACAAGTACTTGTACTTGCCAAAATGCCCCGATGCTTGCGCTATGTTTTTTTTTTTTCACTTACCTTTGGCGCGGGAGAGCAGCGCTGGTCCGGTGGGAGGAGCTCCAGGTGGGGTCCTAATTTAGCTGGCAGGCGACTGCCAGAGGATCCCGACACGCGCAGCACCTCAGGCAGTCGCCGGGCATTTTGTCAAAATTACTTGTCAAAATGCCCTGTTTTTACAGGGGGTCGGGGAGGGGGGATGTGCAAAAATGCACCTTGTAGGCAAGAATCCTAGCACCGGCCCTGCACACGGACACACGGACACACGGACACACACACACACACACACGTAAAGAGCCCGACTACTCAGACTAATGAAGGGCTCGTCGTTTTCCAAAGACCTGCGCACATTCGATTCCAATTTCCTTCAATGTCATAGTGCAGATGGAAGTACTGCCCGCTGAACACCTTAAATGTACTTCATAGGGAAACCGACCCTTATATAAAAATGACGCTCATTACCTGCTCAGACCATTTGACGGCTCTCTCCGTCAGGTATTTGTAAACGACCGGCCTCCCGACATGATAGGACAGCATGTAGCAGAATGACGCTCCAAGACCTGAACACTGCAAGGAGACAGGAGAGAGAGGGAGAGTGTGTGAGTGAGACTCAGCGGACATTTACCTGCCAAAAGTTTGTATTTCTGATCAGCCGGTCTTGTGACGCAAGTACTCCTGCCAGACTACACAGCCAGGCTAGTGACACTAGGAGAGCTGAGAGGGGAGAATGATGGGAAGAGCAGGCAGGGGCATGGAGCATGTTCCCTGAAGGTATACAAAAACCCTCCAGTGCTGCTGACAGTAGAGAGGATGCTTTGCTTTTTACTAGGAAAAGAAGGCAAAGCCATATGCCAAGGGGCAACGTCCGATTCCATTCAGATCACACACACACGAACTATGCGGTCAGGGTTTTTCCCCATAGTTCTCCTTAGGGTAACGGGAGGACACAAACCAGCATCCTCCCGTCACCCTAAGCTCAGTATATAGGGAGCTGCAGCTCGCGGTATACTGAGACGCCGCAGCCGGAGCGGATCCTGACATGGACGTCGAGATCCGCCCAGCTGTGTGAGTGACAGCTGGCTCTGCCTATCTAGAGGCAGAGCCAGCTGTACCCGCCCCCTCCCCCGTCCGTTCCGCCAGTCAGCGCTGGCGGATCGGAGCGGGGAGGGGGGAATCCAGCCCCTCCCCTGTCACGGCAGAAAGCCGTGACAGGATCGAGAAGTGAGCGAACGCCGGTATGTGTTCGCTCACCTCCCGATCTACTGAGCCGACCTGTGACAGTCTCATTGTCACAGGTATGCTAGAACTATGAGGTGAGTGAAAAGCCCACCCCCCCCCTCATAGTTCTCCTTTAAAGTAAGACGTGCTAAAAGTTGTGATAAGACTTCAGATACTCACCAGACACACTAAGAAGAGAGCCAGAGGGAAGGGGTAGAGGAATCCGGAGAGGATACTGAGGAATATGGACCCTGGAATGGCGAAGGTTTGTAGGCTGGACACATCAGAGTTAAGGAAGATTCCGCTTTGTGATGATCAATACACAGACTGCGATGCTGATAAAAGCTTCCGGTACAATTGTTTCCAGTCTTCTGCTGTATGTCCCAACAATGGGATTCCAACATCGGTCTGGCGTCTGGTCACATGATCTCTGTCAGAGGATGGGATGCCCAGAGGTGGTCCAGAAGCCACTGAGGTGCCAAGGTCTCCCTTCCAGCAGACTGATACAGGATCCCCATTATTACAGCAGAATTGACATCTTTTAGTTGCCATAGTGACCGTTCTCTATATTATGTAACTTTATTCACTACAGGTCCATGCTGACGGACAAAACTCCAGCACCGTGCCAAAGCCTGCCCATCCCTTCCTGCATTCCTATTGGTCAGCGAGGCATCCCATCATAAGAATGTGTGAGGGCAGCAATAAGTTACATAGTATTTGAGATTGAATAAAAAAAGACACAGCTGTGTGTGTCTGTGTGTGTACACGAGTCCCTGTGTGGTCTAGTATTTAAGAGTACCTGTCCCCCTGTATGTTACGGTCTCTGAGGAAGGTATCTAAATGCTTTTTAAATGATTCCACGGCTTGTAGCAGAGAGTTCCAGACCCTGACCGCTCTGAGAAGAATCCCCTACGCCCCTCCACCAATTTTAGGTGGTGGCCTCTAGTCCTTGTTAGGAAGGACTAGAGGCCTCACTTCCAGTGCTACACACAGGAGCTGTGAGAGGAGCCCTGTGTCCGGCTGCATCTGCAACCATGGGAAAGAACCTACGGCATGCATAACGACTGCTGCAGCTTTATTCCCATCAGTATTAGATACATGGGGGACGCCGGTCAGAGATCACAGGCCAGCTCCCGAGTCACGGTGTACAGTACTAGAAGAGGCGCAGCTCAGGGCAGGGGGGGGGCGCAGATTGAACAGAGGAAGCCAGGACGGGCCGCAGTCATCCCCAGAACAGCAATTGCAGAAGAGCATACAGCTGCTCCACAATACTGACTCCAAGTGGCCGTCACCGCCCTCATTATTTAAAGGACCGCCACCTCAGCAAATCAAGAGATTGCATGCTAGCAGACCGAGTTCCGCATGGCCCAACAGGAACCCTAACCCTAAGGGGG